GCACGATGAGAGTTACGTTCTTCTTGCGTCCCCGGTGGACAACTTGGTTGTTACACTCGAAGAGCGGTCAAACGCAGGCCGCAGAGGGTATTTGAAAGTCCGTGCAAGGAATACGGGAGGAGGTGCGCCTAATCATCCATGGAACGGTTAAGGCCTCCATCGCTGATTTCTCATGGTGCAGTTTACACACGTTTGAGGAGAGCAACATACCCGAATCCCTTTCGGCGTCTATCCTCATGATTTTCTCCGGTCGTTTCTTACCATGCATAACAAAGACATTCACTGGGTCTCCTCGGAATGCATATGAACTTGTTGTCGTCATCTAACGCCAGTCCAACGATCACTGCTTAGCAGCGTCTAGTCCATTTGGAGAGCACCGGCATTAAAAATTTCGGCCACAAAGATTTTCTATTCAATCATCACCCATGTTGGCGGTATACTTCGACTTAGAAGGCGCATTCCTCAAAACTCATAGATTCTCAATCAATGTGTACGTTTAAGCGATCCATCCGCTGTGAAAGGCCACTTTTTTATTCCCCTCAAAGATCCCAGTACACTAGTTAGAAAAAATGTCGTCTGAATATCAGCATAAAAACTGCTTATTCGGTGATATTCAAAATCCCTCACTGACCCCGACGAATAACAAAGATTCTCTATCGCTTCTTAGGGGGCGCCTGTAAAACTTCTCACGTCAGTAGTTTTGTATATTCTTTTTCCATGTATAAACACGATATGATCTGGATTTCCAGTGATGGATCAAAACAACTTCTAGCTCGCTGTGCTGCCTTTTGTGGTTTATGCGGTTATCAGGAAGCGCATTTTGAGGGCAGGAATACCAGTCAGAGAGGAATGAAAACATAACGGTTTGAATTTTGTTGCCTATGAACTAAAGACAAAAGCACTTGTGTCAAGCCTTCGAAGTAATGCAGCTTACGTCGTCTTCTTTTGCAAGCAGTGAAGTGCAAGGCTGGCTAAGAGTGGGATATTGCGCAGGAGTTTGTAATGAAAAAATAAAAGAATGCACAAAAACAAGTTGCCAGAATTTCCCATAAAATACTGAATAAAACAGCATTGTATAGTAGACTGTAACAGTCTACACTACAAAAGGAGATTTTTGGGCTAGTTGGTGCTTTGAATCTGAGGTAAAAATGCCTGAAAAAAACCAGTGGACGCTAAAGAATTGTGATGTGATGAACTGAACTCTATTCATTGCTCTATTCATTATTCTCTTGTTTAAATATTCCATATGCTGTACATGTACGCCAATTCCAATACATACGTACTACTTGTTGCGCCGATCTGAATTCTGGATTCCCATTTCGTCTGGTTATTCCGATATACGTGCGAAACTCGATTCTAACCCTCTCTTTTGTGATGTTTTCAGGCAACTGAATGTGCTGCACAAGTAGAACATAAGTACAACACAAATAGAAAATAAGGTTGACGGAAACTCGGGGACTGCGCCTACCCGATGAGCCCCAAGAAGAGCAAAACCCGTTGTGAGCTATCGAAGAATTTTCAGCAACTTTATGAGTAGTGCATTGCGACTACACATGCATCAGGATGTCTTGAACATCGTAGCAACTGAAACATGAGGCGGCCTGGTGCAGCACAATCAGTTACCTGGAAACATCACATCCAGGTGCGTCTCTCGCAAAACAAAACTGGGAACACAAAGTGCTTGAATAATGAATAACTCCTTGGCCAGCAGAAATTTGAAGTTTCACCACACTGGATTGTCCACCGTATGAAGTAGTGGAGAAGGTACCACCACTCAACCAAGTGGAATTTGCTATATTTACTGATGTGCCAATCTGTGGTATCTGTTGCTGACCCGCTCCAGTACCTAGTGCCAGAGAAAAAAGATTCACAGAAAGAAACACAACAGCTGTATTCCGAACAAGCGAGTGAGTGCGAGAGCAAAAGTTACAACTTCCCCACGCTATTTAACTGGGACTTTCTGTCGTTGATCCAGACTGTCTGATAGGCGTTAGTGAACACCCATCAACATCGATCGTGCCTCTATGAAAAACCTGAACGCTGATCACATTCGGTCGTGCTTCTGTGGCGTGCA